AGGGTTCTGAGCTGGCGGGTGACAAGATCACAGGGACTGTTCTGAAGCTTGTAAAGAGGGGCTCAAGGAACACTATATGTCTGTCTGCCATTGGATCGTTGTCCATAGCAATCTTTTTTCTTTTATACATAGGGCTTGGAGGAATGTTGTCTTAGGTTTATTCTTTTAACTAAGATTTCTGGGTAGGTAAAATTCTAAGGCTCTTGGTCTATCACAAGACATTTGAGGGATCACTTAGAAAATCCCCTCTTAAATTTCCCAACCCATCCTGACTTAATTAACCTGAACCCTTAAAATTCTGGCAAACTCCCTGCGGGGTTTTTTTTTTTTTTTTTGAAAAGCCTCTGGCGATTGGCCAACAACTTTTCACCTTAAAGAAACAGAGGAAACCATTGGCTAGTTACTCACGAGGCGGGCTGAGGTAGGACCCTAGAATGTTAGGCGGTTGGTTGCCATAGCGACGGGGAGGCTGCGCAGGCCAGAGTCAGCCGCGGGGAACCCGACGAGGTAGGAGGCAGTTCTTGTCCGGGAACGGGTCGCGGGGTGCTGGGGAGGAGGACCTGGCGCACCCCATGGGACACCACTGAGATCCCCGGCCTTCTGGGTGCGTGCGGAATTCTTCTGCGGAGCTGGGTGGTGCCCCAGGGCGAGAAAAAGCCAAGGTCGGAGGTGCTCCCTCCTGATGGTGTGCCCCCAGCTAAATTGGTGATGATAACCACGGCCTGCCCTCCCCCACGGAGGTCCTATGAAGGGCGTGGGCCTCTGGCCCCCTGCCTCTGCCTCTGGGAGTGTACAAACGGTTGGGGGCTCCGTGCTGGGCAGTGGGTGGACGACAAAGAGCTGAGTTCTAACCCCAGGTCCTCCCCAGCAACTTGGGTGTCCCTCAGCGAAGTCTCCCCTGCTCTGGGCCTCAGTTTATTGTAAAGTGAAAGGGTGAGATTGGAATTTGGCAGTCACTAGCCGGCTGCTAAAGCTCCTTCCTGCTCTCTGACATGCCTTCTCAGTTCATGAAAAAATAGTAAATGGATTATTTCCCCCGAGAGGGCTTTGAAAAGTGTAAAATACTTTCAAGATGCACCTTTAGCATTATATATGACTGAATCGGTAAAAATCTCATATAGTCAAAACTGCTCACTCAAATACTATAAAGTTCCACATACAGTAACAGTATATATGATTTAGTATATACTGATACATGCCGCACATTAATATGCATGTATAGATGTATAAAATATGTGATAATACTATAACATAAATGATAAAGGGTTTTTTTTTTTCTAGCATGTAGTTGAGTGAAGATATGCCTGTATTTATAGTCAGGTGAGTTAAAACCTTATAGAATGTGGCTCCGAAAGGAAAGAGTTGTATTGTGAATACATCTATAAGGACTATGGCTAGAATATGTCTACCCCTAGTATCCATTCATCCCACAAATATTATCGAGCAACTACTATGTGCTAGGAAACACACTGGGGATTCAGTGATGAACGTTCTATTGGGGAAGACCATAAACAAAGAAATACATATAAAATATGATGCTTGGTGGTGAAAAGTGCATTGAGAAACATAAGGCAGTGTCGGGCTGGAGAGAGAGGGGTGGTATTCTGTAGGAGAGAGTGATTAAGGAAGACGTCCCTAAGAAACTTTGAGGAGAGACCCAGACGAATCTGGTGATGGGGCTGGAAGACAATACCCAGAAGAGGGAAGGGAGGAATCCCCATACCACAAGGAGGTATTGCAGAGGCTGAAAAGGTCCAATGCCTTTAGGTAGTGGGATATGACAACTGCCTTCAAATACTTGAAGAAGAGTCCCAAAGAACAGTGGCTTTCAAACTTTTGGAATGTGATCCATGCTAGAAATGCATTTTATGTTGCCATCCAGCACTCACACACGCACATGACAAACAAAAAGCTCACAAAAAACTGCAGGCTGTGCCCTGCATTTTGAAAATCACTGACGTGAAAAGAGAGTGAAAATCCAACCATACCCACTCAAGGCTGCTAAATACCAAAATTTAGCAGGTTCACATTCAGTGGGTTCTGCCTTAGAGGTTGCTGTAGTGGTTAAGAGTGAGCAGAAGTCAGACTCTCTAGGTTCAAAGCCCGATTCCACCTCTTACTCTGGTGTGACCTTGAGTAAGTCACCTAACCCCTCTCTCTAAACTGCTGTTTTCTTATCTATAAAATGAGGATAATACCTCACTGGATTATTGTAAGGACAGCATGAAGTATTCCATTCAAGGTATTTAGGACTGTAAGGGCTCAATAAATGATAGTTCTTATTTTAAGCTGTTAATATATTATCCCTGTGCGTAGGTCAAAACCTAGTATTAATAAAAGCCTGCCATAGGCCTGGCAGCATCATCTCTTTCATCACGTGGATCATTGTATTTAATCCATGAGCACGTTGAGAGGAAAGTACCATTATCATTCTCACTTTATGGAGGGGGCAGTGGGCTCAAAAGATTAAGTGGCTTGTCTAGAATCAGAACTAGTAAGCGGCAGAGTACAACCTTGAACCCAGGACTGGATACTCTCGATTACTGTGCTGGGGCTCACCTGGGACTTGCTTAAACACGTACCACCGATTAGGAAGGTGGTATATCTTCATTACTCTTTTTTGAGATTCTAGGCCCATGACATCCTGTCATGAACAGTTATACAGGGACGTGCACCAGTAAGGTACATCCGGACAGTGCTCCGTTCTGACCTGGGCTGCACCTGCTCTCATCCTGGCTTCACAGGTATGCAGCGACAAGGCTCGAAAGCATTATTGCCAGTGTTGACTTTAGGTGACTTTATGGATTGTTTTAGAAAGTCTCTTTAATTTTTTGTATATTTCAAAAATTTGATAAGGTGCCCATATCACCATTATAATAGGAAGCTTAATTCTTTTTCTAAACACCTGTAATTCTATACATTAGTGCATTTTTATTTTTTATCATTTATTTATTTCTTAATTAACCTTTATATTTGAGTGTAGTTGACACACGATGTTTCATTAGTTTCAGATGTACAACACAGGGATCCCCCAGGGATCCCATCATGCTGTGCTCACCCCATTAGTGCATTTTTATTTTATTTAAAAATCTTTTTTACATATTTATTTTTGGGAGAGAGGGACAGAGCGCGAGCAGGGGAGGGGCAGAGAGAGAGGGAGACACAGAATCCCAAGTAGGCTCCAGGCTCCCAGCTGTCAGCACGGAGCCCAGTGTAGGGCTCAAACTCACAAATTATGAGATCATGACCTGAGCCGAAGTTGGACACTTAACCGACTGAGTCATCCAGGCGCCCCTCCCATTAGTGCATTTTAAAAATAAGAGTTTTCTTGTGGCTAGGGAAATAGATGATAGAAGTACTAAGTACTCAGTAGGAGGACTAAGACAACACAGCACTCTGGGGTGGTGAGTGAATGGTGGCTGCTTGTATAGATCCTAGAAGACATTTTTATACTGGAGTAGGTGGTTTTGCTGTGAGCATTATTGATTTCTGTTGCTTTGAATCTCTTAATTTCTTGGAGTGGACTGCCAATAGCTCTATTAAAGATTAAAGTTTCAGTGTAGCTTATCAACCAAAAAAGATTGAGAATTGCTGCTAAGAGACAAGTGGGGAACAAATACTGAAGGTGAAAAGGATTGGTTGAGCACGCCATCATTCATTCAGGCCTCCATTTGTTCGGAAATGGTATAAGTTCTTTGGGGGAAAAAAAAGATGAGCAAAATAGAAGTGAAGTCTGTCCACGAAACATGAACTGCAATGGAAATTGAGTCCTGCTCCTGCTGTTAACAACTAAAATAAAGACAGACATGAGGCAACTGGTTTTAGACGTAAGACAAGAGGTAGCTTAGTGTGGCAATTCCTGAGAGAAGGGAAATAAGGTGAGCCCTGCAATTGCCCAAGGTTAGTGCTGGGGGCAGTTTCCGGGCCACAGTTTAGTGCGGGGGAGGAGGGTACCCTCAAAAAAGCCCAGCTTTCTGGATTGGGGAGATAGAAATCAGAGTGTAGGAAGCCTGTAGAGGCTGGAATTTATAGGGTAGAATACCACAGAGGAGGGGGGACCTGCACAGGTAAAGTTCGGAAACAGGAAGAAGGGGAGCGCCTGGGTGGCTCCGTCGGTTGAGCGTCCGACTTCAGCTCAGGTCATGATCGCCCGGTTCGTGAGTTCGAGCCCCACGCCGGGCTCTGTGCTGACAGTTCAGAGCCTGGGAACTGCTTCAGATTCTGTGTCTCCCTCTCTCTCTGTCCCTCACCCGCTTGTGCTCTATCTCTCTCTCTCTCAAAATAAACATTAAAAAAAATTAAAGAAAAAAAGAAATAGGAAGAAGTTTCTTCTCAAGTATTTGATTCGTGATGACCGTGGTCAGAATGTGTAGCAATTGGAACAACTTACTGGTACAGGCAACAAATGGAAGAATCTTAAAAGCATTGTGCTATGTGAAAAAAGATAGTCATGATTACACATATATGACATTCTAGAAAAGGCAACTCTTGTGACAGAGAGCAGAGCAGTGGTTGCCGGATGCAGGGTTGGGAGGGAACTGATGGCAAAGAAACACGGGAAACATTTGGGGATGATGGGTATACTTATGTCTTCGTTGTGATGTATTTGACACAATTGTAAACCTTTGCCAAAACTTTGAACTGTACATTTAGAACTGATGAATTAGATTGCATGTCAATTACCTGAGCGTGGATAAATTTATAAAGTTCAAGCCTTCGGTAGCTCTGTAAGCAACGTCAACAGTGAACACGTTCGGAGTTCCTGTTACAGGCAGTGCGATGTGCTTGGGAGTTAGGGTCCTCGAACTTGGTAAATCTCAGTCTCTGCCCACAAGATTCCCCAGTGTCTTCTGCAGATAGACCAGAACCCAATCAACATGGTTAACAAGAAGGTGAAATGATCCCTACACACGCTGTATTTTGCTGTTTCAGGTGCTTAGAAGAACCCGTGGTAGAGTTTTTCATCAAACAAATGGAATGTGTCGCAGAACTTTGCCAAGATGGATGACTCAACACACAAAGACCAACACCCTGGCAAAAAACATTCCAGCAAAGCCAACAAAGTACAGAAAGGTCTTGTGAATTTAATCACAGGTGTCTTTGAGGGGCAAGAGAGCTCTTGACATGTGTTCTTTTTGGCCCATAAGAACACATTCTAGAGGAATATAGTAAATCCTGGGACATACCCTCGAGGCTTAAGGGACATCAGATAGATTGCGTTGGTGGTTCCTCACTGCTTTCTAATGTGGTGACTGGGAAGAAACTATGAAAAGAAAGGATGAGGGGGGAAGGAGGAGGAAGTCTATTCAACACACTTGTTATTTCCATGTATCTGGTAAGAATCTCAGTCCTCACATTTAGATGTATAAAGAGATCTTACTTTCTATATTCCTAAAATTAATGCAAGCCCCCCTTCTGCTGGGTTGTTTGGGGTATTTCCATCTCCCTGGTGGGCTTCTAGAGTCCCTGATGCTCTCCCACCCCAGCCAGACCTCTCTTTCTTCCTCCCATCCTTTGACTTTGTGCTCTCTTTTTCTTCAATACTTCTTTAAATCGAAGCATAATACATATTCAGAAAAAGTACACCAGTCAGAGTTATACAGCTTAATGGATGTTCATAATGAAAACACCGCCTATGGAATCGCTCTTCAGGCTAAGACGTGAAATCGCAACAAGTAACCCAAAAGTCCCATCTTGTCCCTTCCCCCATCTCTGCAAAAGTAAACATTACAGCTATTCTGACTTCTAATGGCATTAACTACTTTAGCCTGTTTTTGCACTTTATATAAATTGGAATCATACGACGTGAACTTTTTGCTCTCAGGCGTTTCTCACTCATATTTGAGGGATTTAACTCCATGTTTCCTGTATCAGTGATGAGTTCATTTTCGTTGTTATAAAGTTTTTCATGGTTGGAATACACCACAATTTATTTATCCATTCTACCATTGAAGGACATTTGGGTCGTTTCCAGTTTGGGGCTACTATGAATATAAGATTCTTAAACTATGCTTGTACATGTTTTGGGGACATATGTGTATATATGTTGTCTCTACCTCGGAGTAGAATTGCTGGGTCCTAAGATGTGTTGATGATCGGCTTAGTCAATATCGCCATTTTTCCAGAGCGGTTTTGCCAGTTTTTCTTCTTTACTAGCAACGTATGAGAATTCCAATTGCTCTACGTCATCGCCAACATCTTTCACACATAGTGGTTTTAATTTGCGTTGCCCTTTGATTGATGAAATTGAGCAATTTTTCATACATTGGTTGACCTTTAGAATATTCTTTTTGGAAGAGTGATTGTTCAAGTTTTTTGCCCATTTGTTTTCTATTGGAGTTTTCTTCTTAAAAAAAAAATTTTTTTTTAAATGTTTATTTATTTTTGGGAGAGAGACCGGCAGACAGAGCAGGAGTGAGGGAGGGGCAGAGAGAGAGGGAAACACAGAATCCCAAACAGGCTCCAGGCTCCAAGCTGTCAACACAGAGCCTGATGCGGAGCTCAAACCCATGAACTATGAGCCAAGGTCAGATGCTCAACCGACTGAGCCACCCAGGAGCCCCTGGATTCTTCTTATTTTTAGGAGGTCTTTAAACCATTCTAGAAATGAGTCAATTTGTCACCTACAGGTGGAGTAAATATCTTTCCGTCTGTGATTTTCCTTTCCGCTCTTAATTTTAATATAGCCCAATTTATCAATCCTTTCCTTTTTAGTTACTGTGTATAATCTGTCCTACTTGAGAAATCTTTGCCTAGCCCCAAATAATTTCTTCTAGAAATCGTATGATTTTACTTTTCGTGTCTAGACCTACAATTCAGTGGAATTGTTTTTGTGTATGGTATGAGGTGGATGTACAAGTTTGGTGTTTTCAATATCCATATCCAAGTGAACCAGGACCATTTATTGAAAGGCCATTCTCGGGGTACCTGGGTTGCTCAGTCAGTTGAGCCTCTGACTCTTGATTTTGGCTCAGGTTATGCTCTCACGGTTCATGAGTTTGAGTCCCATCTCTGGCTCTGTGCTGGCACTGCAGAGCCTGCTTGGGATTCTCTCCCCTCTTTTCTCTGCTCCTTCCCTGCTTGCACATGGGTGCACGCTCTCTCTCTCTCTCTCTCAAAAATGAATAAATACACTTAAAAAAAAAAAAGAAAGGCCATTCTTTTTCTACTACTCTGCTGCTCTATCTTTGCTATAAATCAGGTGTCCATGTATATGCAGGTCTACTTCTAGATTCTTTATTCTGGTCAATTACTCAGCACAGTCTTAATTATTGTAACTTTATAACATCTTTTTTTTATATATATTCTTAAAAATTTTTTTTTAACATTTATTCATTTTTTGAGAGAGCATGAGCAGGGGAGGGGAAGAGAGAGAGAGGGAGACACAG